ACACACACACACACACACACACACACACACACACACACACACACACACACACACACACACACACACACACACACACACACACACACACACACACACACACACACACACACACACTCACACACACACACACACACACACACACACACACACACACAAACACACACACACACATTCCTGCCTCAGCCCAACAACAACAGCGTTTATCTCAATCGCATGCCCGCAGAGCGCTGAAGTGAACACGCTTTCACAAAGAACAGACTGATCGCACACCTGAGCCTCATGTCATGTGACACTCTGGGCTTCTTAAACGCTTCTTTGTAAGAAATGTTGAAAAAGTGAAACAGCTGTCAGTGTAATTAACGTTCAACACCACGACTGTATCAGACATGAAAATAAAGATAGTGTTTGTATGGTTGCTAGATAGCTGTTAGGGTGTTCTGCGTGGTTGCTAGGTAGTTGCTAGGATGTTTCCTGTAGTTGCTAGGGTGTTTTATATGGTTTCAAGGACGATTCTAGGGTCTTCTGTGTGGCTGTTAGGTATTTTGTAGGGCATTTTGTGTGGTTGCTAGGTAGTTGCTAGGATGTTTCCTGTAGTTGCTAGGGTGTTTTATATGGTTTCAAGGACGATTCTAGGGTCTTCTGTGTGGCTGTTAGGTATTTTGTAGGGCATTTTGTGTGGTTGCTAGGTAGTTGCTAGGATGTTCTATATGGTGGCTAGGTAGTTGCTAGGATGTTTCCTGTAGTTGCTAGGGTGTTCTATAGGGCTGTTAGGTAGTTGCTATGATGTTTTGTGTGTTTGCTAGATAGTTGCTAGGATGTTTCCTGTGGTTGCTAGGGTGTTTTATATGGTTTCAAGGACGATTCTAGGGTCTTCTGTGTGGCTGTTAGGTATTTTGTAGGGCATTTTGTGTGGTTGCTAGGTAGTTGCTAGGATGTTCTATATGGTGGCTAGGTAGTTGCTAGGATGTTTCCTGTGGTTGCTAGGTAGTTGCTAAGGTGTTTTATATGGGTTCAAGGACGATTCTAGGGTCTTTTGTGTGGTCAAGTATTTTGTAAGCTGTTTTGTGTGGTTGCAAGGTAGTTGCTAGGGTGTTCTATAGGGCTGTTAGGTAGTTGCTATGATGTTTTGTGTGGTTGCTAGATAGTTGCTAGGATGTTTCCTGTGGTTGCTAGGGTGTTTTATATGGTTTCAAGGACGATTCTAGGGTCTTCTGTGTGGCTGTTAGGTATTTTGTAGGGTGTTTTGTGTGGTTGCTAGGTAGTTGCTAGGATGTTCTGTATGGTGGCTAGGTAGTTGCTAGGATGTTTCCTGTGGTTGCTAGGTAGTTGCTAAGGTGTTTTATATGGGTTCAAGGACGATTCTAGGGTCTTTTGTGTGGTCAAGTATTTTGTAAGCTGTTTTGTGTGGTTGCAAGGTAGTTGCTAGGGTGTTCTATAGGGCTGTTAGGTAGTTGCTATGATGTTTTGTGTGGTTGCTAGATAGTTGCTAGGATGTTTCCTGTGGTTGCTAGGGTGTTTTATATGGTTTCAAGGACGATTCTAGGGTCTTCTGTGTGGCTGTTAGGTATTTTGTAGGGTGTTTTGTGTGGTTGCTAGGTAGTTGCTAGGATGTTCTGTATGGTGGCTAGGTAGTTGCTAGGATGTTTCCTGTGGTTGCTAGGTAGTTGCTAAGGTGTTTTATATGGGTTCAAGGACGATTCTAGGGTCTTTTGTGTGGTCAAGTATTTTGTAAGCTGTTTTGTGTGGTTGCAAGGTAGTTGCTAGGGTGTTCTATAGGGCTGTTAGGTAGTTGCTATGATGTTTTGTGTGGTTGCTAGATAGTTGCTAGGATGTTTCCTGTGGTTGCTAGGGTGTTTTATATGGTTTCAAGGACGATTCTAGGGTCTTCTGTGTGGCTGTTAGGTATTTTGTAGGGTGTTTTGTGTGGTTGCTAGGTAGTTGCTAGGATGTTCTGTATGGTGGCTAGGTAGTTGCTAGGATGTTTCCTGTGGTTGCTAGGTAGTTGCTAAGGTGTTTTATATGGGTTCAAGGACGATTCTAGGGTCTTTTGTGTGGTCAAGTATTTTGTAAGCTGTTTTGTGTGGTTGCAAGGTAGTTGCTAGGGTGTTCTATAGGGCTGTTAGGTAGTTGCTATGATGTTTTGTGTGGTTGCTAGATAGTTGCTAGGATGTTTCCTGTGGTTGCTAGGGTGTTTTATATGGTTTCAAGGACGATTCTAGGGTCTTCTGTGTGGCTGTTAGGTATTTTGTAGGGTGTTTTGTGTGGTTGCTAGGTAGTTGCTAGGATGTTCTGTATGGTGGCTAGGTAGTTGCTAGGATGTTTCCTGTGGTTGCTAGGTAGTTGCTAAGGTGTTTTATATGGGTTCAAGGACGATTCTAGGGTCTTTTGTGTGGTCAAGTATTTTGTAAGCTGTTTTGTGTGGTTGCAAGGTAGTTGCTAGGGTGTTCTATAGGGCTGTTAGGTAGTTGCTATGATGTTTTGTGTGGTTGCTAGGTAGTTGCTAGGATGTTCTGTATGGTTCCTTGGGTGTTCTGTATGGTAGCTAGGTAGTTGCTAGGGTGTTCTATAGGGCTGTTAGGTAGTTGCTATGATGTTTTGTGTGGTTGCTAGGTAGTTGCTAGGATGTTTCCTGTAGTTGCTAGGGTGTTTTATATGGTTTCAAGGACAATTATTTACAGTTGCTAGGGTGTTTTGTTGTTTGGTTGCTAGGTAGTTGCTAATGTATGCTGTTTGGTTGCTAGGTAGTTCCTACGGTGTCTATATGGTTGCTAGGTAGTTTCTAAGATGTTTGTATGGTTTTTAGAGAGTTGTTAGGGTGTTTGTGTTGTAAGTAGGTAGTTGCTAGGGTCTTCTGTGTGGTTGCTAAGTAGTTGCTAAGGTGTTTTTGTGGTTGCTAGGTAGTTGCCAGGGTATTTTGTACAGTTGTGAGATGGTTTCTAGGGTGTTTTGCATGGTTGCTAGGTAGTTGCTATAGTGCTCTTTGTGGTTGCTAGGTAGTAGCCAGGGTATTTTGTACAGTTGTTAGATAGTTTCTAGGGTGTTTTGCATGCTTGCTAGGTAGTTGCTATAGTGTTCCGTGTGGTTGCTAGGTAGTAGCCAGGGTATTTTGTACAGTTGTGAGATAGTTTCTAGCGTGTTTTGCATGGTTGCTAGGTAGTTGCTATAGTGCTCTTTGTGGTTGCTAGGTAGTAGCCAGGGTATTTTGTACAGTTGTTAGATAGTTTCTAGGGTGTTTCGCATGCTTGCTAGGTAGTTGCTATGGTGTTCCGTGTGGTTGCTAGGTAGTGGCCAGGGTATTTTGTACAGTTGTTAGATAGTTTCTAGGGTGTTTTGCATGCTTGCTAGGTAGTTGCTATAGTGTTCCGTGTGGTTGCTAGGTAGTGGCCAGGGTATTTTGTACAGTTGTTAGATAGTTTCTAGGGTGTTTTGCATGCTTGCAAGGTAGTTGCTATGGTGTTCCGTGTGGTTGCTAGGTAGATGCCAAGGTATTTTGTACAGTTGTTAAGTAATTGCTAGGGTGTTCTGTGTGTCAGGAAACATCACATCATTCATCATGATGTACGGAGGGTGTAAATCGGGTGTGAGGTGCAGCTCACCTGCGGGCTGTGTGCTTCTCTTCGGGTAGGTCTTGCTGCGGGTTCGGCTCACCTGTAGGTCGGGTCGCGGTAGAGTCACAGACTGCTCTCGTCCGATCTGCATTGCAGTCTTTCCACTACAAGCAGAAACAGACATTATGATTTAAGTCCTCCTGCACCACTATTGAATGAATTCTTTCATTACAGGAATACTTCATTCAAAAATGAAAATGCATGTTATTCCGTATGAAATGAATGTATTTTTTTGTTTGCTATTTTGGAGAAGTGTTCCTTTAAAAACAGTGTTTAGCACCTAACATATTTAGTGCTGTCATTTTGCAGTCTGTCAATTATTTGGCCTTTTATTCTTTTGAGTTCGGCTCACATGTTGATGGATGTGATGCAGCCGTTTTATGCTTATTTAATGACTAACCCTGAGAATACAGGACAGTAACATGAGTCACTGCTGTTTAACACACATTCAGCATTATATCACTGTCTGTGACTAATAGCTGTCTGTACACATTAAAGGTAATTTCTCAATATCTTGTGCTTTTATCTGACTATAGATTTATGACATCACCATTCTAAAGTTTAAAGATGGTAAGATTGTTTTGAAATAAGTGTCTTCTGTTCACCAAAGCAGCATTTATTTGATACAGTAAAAATGTGAAATATTTCAACAATTTAAAACAGCTGTTTTCTATTTGAATAGCTGTTAAACTGTAATGTATTTCTGTGATGTGCAGCTGTATTTTCAGCATCATTCCTCCAGTCTTCAGTGTCACATGATCTTCAGAAATCATAAAAATATTTAATTCATTAATATCTTAATGATTCTAAAATAACACATATTTCAATATCTACTAACTAACTGTGAATTAACATGAACTAAAGATGTTGTAAGAATATATTGCTCATTCATGCATTAACACTTTATAGGGACACATTCTCACTATTAACTAGTTGCTTATTAGCATGCCTATCATTAACATATTGGCTGTTTATTATTATTATTATTATTAGTAGTGCATATAAAGCGCATATTCTGCATGACCATATTCTACATCCCCAATCCTACCCAAACAACTACCTTACTAACTATTAATAAACAGCAAATTAGGAGTTATTGAGGCAAAAGTCGTAGTTAATGGTTTGATAATAGTGAGAATTGGACTTTTAAATAAAGCGTGACCATGTTAACAAATGAGCCCTTATTATAAAGTGTCACCAGTAATTCTCTATTCTTAATGGTAAGAGTTTGGAGGTGTGACGTGTCTAAATCTCTCCCATCGCTTGAGTTTCACACGCGGATTAGCAGCAGAAACCTCCAGCCTCCTGCATTCTGAGCGCGTAAAGCTCTTTGGGGATGATTCAATCTGATTAAACAAACACCAGAGACGACTGTGAACGCGTGAGGGGACGCGGGAGGATTGGAACGCAGCCCCCGAAAGCTTCTCCTGAAAATAAAGAGCCTCGGTAAAGCCGCGGGAATCTGAAGGGCCCTTCGGTTTAGGTGAAGGGCCCAGCGTTTCTCTGTGAGGACGTACAGGAGAGCATAATGCAGCGGGTTTGGCTTTCTGTGCTAGGACAAGAAGTTTAGACCGGATTACGATGTTTTTAAAGTGCATGAGGCTGTTCGAACATCACACGACTGTAATCCCTTATAAAAAACTAAAGCAGTTTCAAACTGAGGCTTAAAATGAGTGTTTATTGGTGCTTGAAATGCAATCAGGTCATATTAAATGATATTTTTTATTAAATGACTTTAATAAAAACATTTAGTTAAAATGCTACCACTAAACGCACATGTTTTAAAATAGTATATCATGTTAATTTTATATATGTCGGAAATTAAAATATGACTTATTATGGGTACTGAATGATGCATATTCAAATTATTTGCATATTATAGTTTGTATTAATATTTTGAATTAGTTTTAATTTTATACTTATGCTTTTGTCATGTTTATTAGTTTTTGTTTATTTTAATGTTTACTTTATTTGTTTCAGTTTTAGCTTTTATTAATTTATTTCCAGATTATTCAACTTAAACTAAATGAAAATTAGAATTGTTGCCATGGCAACTAGCTGAAATAAGTTTTCATCTAATATTTATATTTTATTTTATTCAAGCTTTATTTTAATTAACAGGTTACATTTTATTTCACTTAAGTTAACTTACATTAAAAAATATATATATTATGGGCTTTTATTAGTTTTTGAATATTTTAAATATTATTATTTATATTTAATTTATTTCTATTTGAGGTTTATTTCCATTTTTAGTGCTTCAACTTTAAACAAAAATAAGACATGTTAAATTTAACCTGTTCATAGAAATAAAGCTTGAATAAAATAAAATATAAATATTAGATGAATAACTTTTTTCAGTTCGAATTTTCATTTAGTTTAATTTGAAACACTAAAATAACAACTAAAACTGAAATGAAATAAAAAATTAATTAAACCTAATGGCAATATTTAAAATGAACGAAAACTAATTAAAAAAAGCACATTTCAAATGACTAAAAATCGAACTAAAATTAAAATGTACACTGAAATTATAAAAATAAAACCTAATTCAAAATATTAAACTAATATAGTAAATAAATATAACTAGCGGTCAATCGATTAAAAAAAATTAACGAATTAATCGCACATTTTTTAAGTTTTTAAATATACTTTTATATTGCAATAATTTCACATTCAATCTTCAAATTAATGTAGAAACAACATAAAGACAGTAATATTTGTTTAATGGCATCTTTTTTATGACTGAAGGCCAGTATCAATGATACCAATACTACTGATGTCTCTGGTGGCCAACCTAGCTCCGGCCCTGCGTTAATTGCGTATTTTGATATTTTGAACACGTTAAACTTGAAAAATTATTTGCATGCATTAAAGCGCTAATTTTGACAGCACAAATAATATCCTAAATAAATGTTATAGCATGATGTTACCATTTTTTTGGACATGCATTATTCAGTACCCATGAAATTGAAAAATATCTGATTTACTATTTTATTGTTCTTTAAGTAGAGCAGAAAATCTCTGTTGCTGTACCTGAAGAAGGTGTGATGCTCCACGCAGCACTTCCACAGGTTCTTGCAGGCCGTCTTACTGGGAGCGTCGAAGAAGAACGACGTCTCATTACACTGAAAACACACAGGGACGCCGTGTTTAAATGGATATGTGTATAAACTTCATGTTAAATGTTCATCACTGGTGGTGGCCCTCATAACCCGCATGTGCTCTCATTAGTCTGATCTCACTAGGGCAGATGAAGAGGGTCAGAGTCCTAGAACGAGAAGACACTTCACTGCAGCTTAAATTGGGCCCTGGAGGAAACGGTTTATAGACTCAAGAGTCAAGAGTCAATAATGGACTTTCCACTGACTCCTCAAAAAGGATTTTCCACACAGAGCTCATGATGTTATGGAAGCAGTTACAATAAAGTAAAGCAGTCTTATACATGAATTTTGTTGCTTGCTTCGAATGGGAAAAAATCTTGTTGAATACAGTCAAAAATCAAGTTAAGTCAAATGTATTTATATAGCGCTTTTCACAATGCATATCGTTTCAAAGCAGCTGCACACAAAATCACGATGTTAATGTTTATGATATCTTAATATCTTCATGCCGTACAGCCGAAATTAACATTACAGCTAGGCAATGATTTCATGTAAATTAAAGGGATATATGGTATCGAGAGATGACACACAGTTAATTTATTGTGATGTTGTATTAAAAACAAGACTTACATCTCTGCCTATAACCCGCAGCTCAAACTGGGTTTCCTTGAAATGCACTTTAGTCATTCTTGGCCTGAAAGATTTATATTAAAAGTGAATTATTTAACAATGCATGTAAAAACAAATCAAAACAGAGTGTCAAAGTTTTACAATGTATATCATCTATATCATATAAGATCAAATAGTATCATATATCATATCTTGTTCTTTTAAAGAATCATACCATATATCTTGTATCGTGTCATACCATATATCATATACCTCATATCATATCATACCATATATATCATATATGATATGATATATGGTATGATATAATAATGATATGATATATCATAAAATATCATATCAGCTATCTCCTATCATCATTACATATCATATTTCATGTCATATCATATATGATATCATAGCATATTATAAATCTCATCTCATACCATATCATATATCTCATATCATCAACAAGTCAGTTAATTCTCAGGACATAGAGATTCTTTCACCTAGATAAAAAGAAAAAAAAAAGAAAAAACAAAACTAGAGGTATTTCGTATCGCATGGAAGGACAGTACTTCTACTTATATAGAAAAGCTCTAAAACTGCTAGATCTGCTTACTTTTCGTCTCTTTTAGAAGAGAACAAGCACAACCCCAGGCATTTATTCAATACAGTGGCTAAATTAATGAAAAATAAATCATCAACAGATGCAGACACTCCCCAACATCACAGCAGTAATGACTTTATGAACTACTTTACTTCTAAGATCGATACTATTAGAGATAAAATAATAACCATGCAGCCGTCAGCTACAGTATCACATCAGATAGTGCGCTATAGATCCCCTGAGGAACAATTCCACTCATTCTCTACTATAGGACAGGAAGAATTGTATAAACTTGTCAAATCATCAAAACCTACAACATGTACTGTATGTTAGACCCTATTCTATCTAAGCTCCTAAAAGAGGTGCTTCCAGAAGTCATAGATCCTCTTCTAAATGTTATTAATTTGTCAATATCATTAGGAAATGTCCCAAAATCTGTTATTAAGCCTCTCACTAAAAAAAACACATTCCTGTTATCAAGAATTCGATTTCTGCGAGAGATGACGTCATTTTTGATATTAAGAATGAACTTTTATACTAGTGGAAATGTAATTCCTGATATCAAAAATAGCCACTGTTACTAGTAAAATTATTATCCTGTGTAGAATTAATAACCTGTGAATGAATAAAAGTCAAAACGGCTTGCCATAATATCACATCATATATCATATTATACCATATATCATATATATTATTAATTTGTCAATATCATAAGGAAATGTCCCAAAATCTGTTATTAAGCCTCTCACTAAAAAAAACACATTCCTGTTATCAAGAATTCGATTTCTGCGAGAAATTACGTCATTTTTTATATTAAGAATGAACTTTTATACTAGTGGAAATGTAATTCCTGATATCAAAAATAGCCACTGTTACTAGTAAAATTATTATCCTGTGTAGAATTAATAACCTGTGAATGAATAAAAGTCAAAACGGCTTGCCATAATATCACATCATATATCATATTATACCATATATCATATATATATAATGATATGAGAAATTATTATCTCATATCATACATCTCATTTAATATCATACAGTATATCTCATTTCATATCTCATTAAAGGATTTGTTCTTTTAAAGGATCTTTTAAAGTATCATATCATAGCGTATATCATATCATATTTAAAGTATTTGTTCTAAAAATTCAAAAACATCCTGAAACACCATTAATGCGGGTTTTGAATGAAATGCGGGTGAGTAAATACTGACTGAGCTTTCATTTTAGGGGAATTATTCCTTTAATAGGTGAAAAATGTAAATTTAAACATCAACCTACCAGAAATATTTCCCCACTTGCGTTTTATTTTTGTAAACCACGACCCCGACAGGCGTCAGGCCCAGGAAGTACTCAGACTGCTTTTCTCCCTGAAAACACACGTTTATGCATTAAGCGATTTATGAACACAAACACAAGCGATTAATCAGAGCGACAATATTCAGAGAGTACACTGCCAGGATTATTGGAAAGCTGGATTAGGAATCAAGATAGGACAGAGAAGAAATGCAAAGAATTAAATCATTAACAGAAAAGACAAATATTGACATTGCATCCAATCAAACAGAGTAAAAAGAGCTCTGTTGATGTAAAAGGACTGAACTCACAAACACAGGGTGCAGATCCACGCCGTACATTTCCAGTGTTTTGGCAATTGCTAAGTAATTGTTTTCGGCCTCGGCAGGCACCTGACCCCTGAACAGAGAGGACGACACGTCACACAAGACACAACTGAGCAGAGAAACCACCAAAATACACTTCAAAGTCATTCAAAACGATTACAAGCATTTTGGAAGAAGCTCTATAACCTGGATTATGAAAGCTGTGCATTAACCCTATAAATCCTACTGTGTCATATTTGAGACACAAAGGCCTCTAAATGATAAACAATCAAAACTTTGCTGATAAACCTGTTTCGCACACAAACTCCTCCATGCTTCTGTCGTCTGATTGATAGTTTAGAGTTTATTCAGTCAAAGCTCTTGTAGTGTAACTGTAGCTGGAGCTTCTCGTGTCAAATCTTGAGTGATTTTGATCAAGTAAGGGTCAGAATAACTGCAGTAATATCTCCAGATGAACACTTACTGCACTGAAGCAGCTCAGCTTTACTTGATTCTCCATCAATCATGTTTTAGAGTCTGAAATCTGATCCTCAGGATCTTTTGAGGAGCGTTTGTTTCCAGAAGCTTTACTTTCACTGTTCCTCAGCGGAGGAATGATCTTCACAAGCCTCCAGAAGATCTCACATCTTCTGAGGAGCCTTTATTTCTTCAGCTCTCAATCACTGCATTATATGTTTGGAGCATTTCACTCTCATCTCACTGAGACCGATTACTGGAGATATAGAGCCACGACTGATATTTAGATCATTTTATGTGAATATCTGTTGTACTGTTTTAAAGATCTCATTGATTTGCATTACAAGCATCAGAATTTCATCAATTCTTGCCCATATAAATATCAGCGTTTCATATTTTTTGAATATGTTTTTTCCTCCGAGTATGAACTCCATATTCTCAACATTTGTTTTTATATTTTCTGATATATCTTGTCTAAAGGCTTGATAAATCTGTTCCACTTCATTATTTCATATGTCAGGCTTTATAGGGTTAAATGTTCCCTTGCAACAAACAAGGATTTACGTTCAGCAAACATCTGGAATGCCAAAGTAAACAAGAGCAGCATAAACGAAAGAAAGGAAACATTCAAACTGTAATCATTAACAGAAAGATTGAATGTGATTTTCAGTGTTGCTTTAAACTATTTCAGGTTTCAGACTGGATAACAGACTCATTCCCGTGAGGTCAAACCTGAAAGCAGTCGTGCTGAAACAATGTTTATATCATTTACTAACACTAATGCAGGAGTGTGGAGTCAGAGCATGATCTTACACAACAATAAAGATAAGAGAAAAACGTACAGATCCCAGTAGGGAAATTCAAGAAGCAGACCCAAGAAAAAGTGCATAGAATTTTAAAATATATCATTTAAAATATATATATATTTTAAAGTTTATATATATATATATATAATTTCTAAAAATATATTTATAAAACTGTAATTTTATATTCGTATTATATGTCTATGAGACTACTTATACTATATATTTTATTATATTTTCCACTGTATACACTGTGCATAGTGAGCTTATGTGAATTAAGTGGAAATAATTTTAGCCAGAATTTTTTATGAAAAAGTTTTCTTGGGTCGCCTTTCTTGAATTATATACGTATGTATATTCAACAACAAAAAAGGTGGGTTCTATACCCACTGTATATGTATGTATGATTCTTCACTAAACAATGACATGATTGATATAATAATATAAAATACAATTTTGGTACAATTCATAATTATTTTCAAAAAAATGCAATGCATAAATAAATGCGTGCTCTGTCGTGTTGCTGTGGTCACATGTGCATGCATTAAAGACTCCCCTCACAGCGGCGCGGACGGGTCTCTGCTGATTGTAGATGCTGTGTTATAAGTGTAGGGCCCCACCATTTTCAGGCAACCTGGGGTCTCGCTGCATTCATCTCTTTCATTTGGGTCGTGTGCGTGCGGCTGCATATTGCTCTTAGTCGCCGGCGTACAGAAAATATGATGCAGCACAGCCGGTCTGAGCCGCGTCGCAGACGGGACACCCACGATCCTTTTGTTCTGTCTCGCAGAGGGTCGACACACTTTAACTGCGCTTCTCTTTGTCTACGGCTGCGTGCAGAAGGGAACTCTAGCATACTGTGCATGCTGTTTATATAGTATGCAAAACAGTGTGCAAGTCAAACCGTAGTATACTACATTTCTGTCAATGATCTCATTAAGTGGTGCATATATATATATATATATATATAATATACTGAAATAAATTCGTTTATATATTTTAAGAGAGTTACCAACGGGTATGTTTAAGGTTAGGAGTTGGCTAGGACAATAATTAAGTGTATACAATTAAACAACTACATATTTTCTTAAATAAAAATAATAATAACATACAACACCCAGGTACAATGAGTTGCAGTATATATTTTATATATAGAAATAAATTATATTGTTAAATATATACAGTATATATTTAACAATATAATTTATTTCTATATATAAAATATATTCTATAAAAATATATGTATTCTTGCTTTATATATACTATAAATACAAAATCAAAACAAAAGCACGCACATGACTGGAAAATCTCTCAAACAGGGAGCTCGACAAAAAATATTGATAATGAAAACAAAAAATGTTTTTCCATTATAAACTGTAAATATAAATGTATAATAACAAGGACATAATAGACAAATATATAATATATAGTCAATATTATAATATATATATTTATTAGATTAGATTAGATTATTTTCTTATTTTATAAATATATATATATATATATATATATATATGTATTAATTTATATTATAAACAAAACTCTAATAACATAATGACAAATAATATATAGAAATTATATAATACAATATAAACACATTATATATATATACTGTATATATATATATTACACACACACACACACTATATATATATATATAGTGTATATATATCTATATAATACAAATATATTTATAATAATATAATTAAAATATAAAAAATATTATATTATATAATAATATAATACAAATATATTTATAAATAAAAATAAACATTTTTTAAGTAGAATCCATTTTTTTAAATAGTTTAATAGAATAAAATATAATATATAATAAATATACTTGTGTAAATATGCTTATTTTTGCTGTGTTTAATATATCTATCTATGTACAGTGAGTATAGAAAATATACAGACTATATTTGTTTTCTGACATGGTGTATTATCTTTCACTTGAATGTTATATATATATATATATTTATATGTGCGTGACCCTGGAGCACAAAACCAGTCATAAGTGTCTTTTTTTTTTTTTTAATTGGGATGTCTACATCATCTGAAAGCTGAATAAATAAGCTTTCCATTGATGTATGGTTTGTTAGGATCGGACAATATTTGGCTGAGATACAACTATTAGAAAATCTGGAATCTGAGGGTGCAAAAAAATCTAAATATTGAGAAAATCATCTTTAAAGTTGTTCAAATGAAGTTCTTAGCTATGCATATTACTAATCAAAGTTAAGTTTTGATATATTTACGGTAGCAGATTTACAAAATATCTTCACGGAACATGATCTTTACTTAATATTCTAATGATTTCTGGCATAAAAGAGAAATGTATAATTTTGACCCACACAGTGTATTTAAATATCCCCCAGCGACTTAACACTGCTTTTGTGCTCCAGGGTCACACATCTCTCTGTCTCTCTCTATATATATATATGTTTTTTTATTTTTTAAAGAACCCTAACTCTTCTCTTTATCCCCTTGTTTTCCTCACATATTTTTGCGGTCTCGTGTTTCCTGCTCTTCATCCTCATACATGTTTAAGCGCTCCAGCATTCCTGATCAGAGTTTCTCATTTTACTGCTGTCTGTCATTCACACGAACGCTTTAATTCAGTCCAAACCCTCCCGTCTGTCACTCCTCCTCCTCCTGTCTCTCTCAGCGACCTCACGCCAATAAATCAGTCTCTCAATCGCCATCTTTGAAAAAAAAAACTCTACCTGACAATCAGAATTGCATGAGGGATTAAAGCTTGCTTTGAGGGAACTGTTGTTGCCTTTTCACACAAAGACACGCATTAATAATGTGATTTATCTTGCAGTGTTTCTGTGAGACTCGAGATTTGACTGAAATATGAGCAGAGTAATCCTGGAAAACAGAGTTTCTGTGTCATACTGTAACATCCAGAACATCTACTGAAACAATGCTAAAAAAAGAGGACATGTTTACAGATCTAAAGGTCTCATTTCTTAACATTAGCTAATGCATTTACTCAAATTAACTAACGAGCTTTGTTTTCATCACCTAACTATTGCTAATGTTTGTTAATAAAAATACAGCTGATCATTGTTTTAATGCAGCATTATTATTAACTAAAATACAACCATAAAAACATTTTTATTACTGAAATGAAATATAAAAAAGTAAATCTATTTTAGCATTTTATTTTTTACATTTGATTATTCAATGTCTTACTTGAACGCGACTGTTAAATAGACCTACTCTACATGATAACTATAAAAAAAAAATGTACGTTTATTTTAATTTGCATTTTTTGTATATTGTTTATTTGTCATATTGTTTGTCCTATTTTCAAAATATTGAAAAAAGTGAAATTAAATAAGATTTTGTTCATATAGTTCATCCCTATTTTGGTCTAAATGGTCCGTCATTCTTTATTTCTTTTATATTTTGCTATCTTGTGTAAATATATATTTTTAATAATTCAATTTTCAATTTAATTTGGATGTACGGGTCAATACATAAAATAAAAAAACAAAATACAATTTAATTATATAATAAAAATGTAATGAAAAATAGACATAAAATAGACAATGAACAAATAAAACAAATCTAAAATAATAAAAATGAAATCATAAGATAAATCAATTATTAAATAAAATGAAATTATAAAACAAATTAATTAAATAAAATGAAAAAAAAAGAAATTTAAAAATACATGAATAAATTAAAATGAAAAAGTGAATACAAATTATAAAAATAAGTAAATAATATAAAATGCTAAAATAAATAAAACAATAAAAAAATATATAATAAAATTAATTAAAATAAATAAAATGTTAAAATAAATTATATTAAAGTTAAATTGTTTTAAAATAAATTTAAATTGGCTGTACTGGTGTGTAACGTGTAAAATAGTCTGAAAAGGTTGCAATCCTGCCTGAAAAAAACAACACTAATAATATTTGAATGATATGATATTGTGCCATACATGGCTCACCCTTGTATAGCAGTGTCATTGTGTTTTGGTGAGGAGAGTTGCACATGAACAGTTCTCTCTCGCCTGTTTGTTCATTTAAGCTCCTCTGTCCTCTTTAGTGACGGGACAGGTGCAGCCCAGCGCCTCTCCACACGCACACAGCCTCAGCGCCGCGATTGTGTGACGAGAACAGCTCTCGTTACGAAGACATGGACGACGGCCAGAGGAGGAACCTTTACTGTCGATTCCCACGGAAAGAGCTTCTACATGTTTAAGAGTTTGAACAGGAGTGTGGTGTCTGATCCAATCTGTGACGGGATTATTACAGATGAAGGTGTGCGATGCACTGTGTTTTAATGTCTTACATGAGCGTTTTATGAATCTGTTCGATGCTGTCCTCTAGTTCCTCGTTCTGGTCGGGGACAAAGCGATATTCAGACACGTAACCTGGAGTGTGTTTGTACGGGTCGTAGTCTCCGAGCTCAGCTGTAGGAAAACACAAAGAGGAAACCACATCATATAATAGAATAATATAATATAATGCTGGAATAGTCTAGAAATAATAAAACTATATATTTAAATATAATTAATAATTATAATTAAATTAAAATAAATAAATGTAATTATAAATACACATAAATTAAATTATAAAATGAATGAATAAAAATAAATTGTAACAATGAAATGATAAAATAAGTAAAAAATAAAATGCTAAAATAAAATTATCAAAATATATCATAATAAAAATAAAATGAAATTATAGTAATAAATAAATGAGTAAATTTAAATTCTTAATTAAATGAAATTAGACAAACAAATAAATGAATAAAGTGAAATTATAAAATAAATAAAACTATAAAATTAAAGAAATAAAATAAAATGAATAAATAAAATGAAATTCTAAAATCTGATGAATAAATAAATAAAAATAAATTGCAAAATAATTCAAATAAAATCATAAGAGAAATAAAAACAATGTAATTATAAATATACATAAATAAAATAAAATTATAAAATGAATGAATAAAAAGAAATTGTAAAAATTAAATAAAATGAAATTCTAAAATCAGATGAATAAATAAATGGCAAAATAATTAAAGTAAAATTATAAGATAAATAAATAAAATGTAATTATAAATAGACATGAATAAAATAAAATTATAAAACGAATGAATAAAAATAAATTGTAAAAATGAAATAAAATGACATTCTAAAATCTGATGAATAAATAAATTAAAATAAATTGCAAAATAATTAAAATAAAATCATAAGATAAATAAATAAAATGTCATTATAAATACACATAAATAAAATTAAATATAAAACGAATGAATAAAAATAAATTGTAAAAATGAAATGATAAAATAAGTAAAAATAAAAGTTTGTTAGGATCGGACAATATTTGGCTGAGATACAACTATTAGAAAATCTGGAATCTGAGGGTGCAAAAAAATCTAAATATTGAGAAAATCATCTTTAAAGTTGTTCAAATGAAGTTCTTAGCTATGCATATTACTAATCAAAGTTAAGTTTTGATATATTTACGGTAGCAGATTTACAAAATATCTTCACGGAACATGATCTTTACTTAATATCCTAATGATTTCTGGCATAAAAGAGAAATGTATAATTTTGACCCACACAGTGTATTTAAATATCCCCCAGCGACTCAACACTGCTTTTGTGCTCCAGGGTCACACATCTCTCTGTCTCTCTCTCTCTCTATATATATATATGTTTTTTTATTTTTTAAAGAACCCTAACTCTTCTCTTTATCCCCTTGTTTTCCTCACATATTTTTGCGGTCTCGTGTTTCCTGCTCTTCATCCTCATACATGTTTAAGCGCTCCAGCATTCCTGATCAGAGTTTCTCATTTTACTGCTGTCTGTCATTCACACGAACGCTTTAATTCAGTCCAAACCCTCCCGTCTGTCACTCCTCCTCCTCCTGTCTCTCTCAGCGACCTCACGCCAATAAATCAGTCTCTCAATCGCCATCTTTGAAAAAAAAAACTCTACCTGACAATCAGAATTGCATGAGGGATTAAAGCTTGCTTTGAGGGAACTGTTGTTGCCTTTTCACACAAAGACACGCATTAATAATGTGATTTATCTTGCAGTGTTTCTGTGAGACTCGAGATTTGACTGAAATATGAGCAGAGTAATCCTGGAAAACAGAGTTTCTGTGTCATACTGTAACATCCAGAACATCTACTGAAACAATGCTAAAAAAAGAGGACATGTTTACAGATCTAAAGGTCTCATTTCTTAACATTAGCTAATGCATTTACTCAAATTAACTAACGAGCTTTGTTTTCATCACCTAACTATTGCTAATGTTTGTTAATAAAAATACAGCTGATCATTGTTTTAATGCAGCATTATTATTAACTAAAATACAACCATAAAAACATTTTTATTACTGAAATGAAATATAAAAAAGTAAATCTATTTCAGCATTTTATTTTTTACATTTGATTATTCAATGTCTTACTTGAACGCGACTGTTAAATAGACCTACTCTACATGATAACTATAAAAAAAAAATGTACGTTTATTTTAATTTGCATTTTTTGTATATTGTTTATTTGTCATATTGTTTGTCCTATTTTCAAAATATTGAAAAAAGTGAAATTAAATAAGATTTTGTTCATATAGTTCATCCCTATTTTGGTCTAAATGGTCCGTCATTCTTTATTTCTTTTATATTTTGCTATCTTGTGTAAATATATATTTTTAATAATTCAATTTTCAATTTAATTTGGATGTACGGGTCAATACATAAAATAAAAAAACAAAATACAATTTAATTATATAATAAAAATGTAATGAAAAATAGACATAAAATAGACAATGAACAAATAAAACAAATCTAAAATAATAAAAATGAAATCATAAGATAAATCAATTATTAAATAAAATGAAATTATAAAACAAATTAATTAAATAAAATGAAAAAAAAAGAAATTTAAAAATACATGAATAAATTAAAATGAAAAAGTGAATACAAATTATAAAAATAAGTAAATAATATAAAATGCTAAAATAAATAAAACAATAAAAAAATATATAATAAAATTAATTAAAATAAATAAAATGTTAAAATAAATTATATTAAAGTTAAATTGTTTTAAAATAAATTTAAATTGGCTGTACTGGTGTGTAACGTGTAAAATAGTCTGAAAAGGTTGCAATCCTGCCTGAAAAAAACAACACTAATAATATTTGAATGATATGATATTGTGCCATACATGGCTCACCCTTGTATAGCAGTGTCATTGTGTTTTGGTGAGGAGAGTTGCACATGAACAGTTCTCTCTCGCCTGTTTGTTCATTTAAGCTCCTCTGTCCTCTTTAGTGACGGGACAGGTGCAGCCCAGCGCCTCTCCACACGCACACAGCCTCAGCGCCGCGATTGTGTGACGAGAACAGCTCTCGTTACGAAGACATGGACGACGGCCAGAGGAGGAACCTTTACTGTCGATTCCCACGGAAAGAGCTTCTACATGTTTAAGAGTTTGAACAGGAGTGTGGTGTCTGATCCAATCTGTGACGGGATTATTACAGATGAAGGTGTGCGATGCACTGTGTTTTAATGTCTTACATGAGCGTTTTATGAATCTGTTCGATGCTGTCCTCTAGTTCCTCGTTCTGGTCGGGGACAAAGCGATATTCAGACACGTAACCTGGAGTGTGTTTGTACGGGTCGTAGTCTCCGAGCTCAGCTGTAGGAAAACACAAAGAGGAAACCACATCATATAATAGAATAATATAATATAATGCTGGAATAGTCTAGAAATAATAAAACTATATATTTAAATATAATTAATAATTATAATTAAATTAAAATAAATAAATGTAATTATAAATACACATAAATTAAATTATAAAATGAATGAATAAAAATAAATTGTAACAATGAAATGATAAAATAAGTAAAAAATAAAATGCTAAAATAAAATTATCAAAATATATCATAATAAAAATAAAATGAAATTATAGTAATAAATAAATGAGTAAATTTAAATTCTTAATTAAATGAAATTAGACAAACAAATAAATGAATAAAGTGAAATTATAAAATAAATAAAACTATAAAATTAAAGAAATAAAATAAAATGAATAAATAAAATGAAATTCTAAAATCTGATGAATAAATAAATAAAAATAAATTGCAAAATAATTCAAATAAAATCATAAGAGAAATAAAAACAATGTAATTATAAATATACATAAATAAAATAAAATTATAAAATGAATGAATAAAAAGAAATTGTAAAAATTAAATAAAATGAAATTCTAAAATCAGATGAATAAATAAATGGCAAAATAATTAAAGTAAAATTATAAGATAAATAAATAAAATGTAATTATAAATAGACATGAATAAAATAAAATTATAAAACGAATGAATAAAAATAAATTGTAAAAATGAAATAAAATGACATTCTAAAATCTGATGAATAAATAAATTAAAATAAATTGCAAAATAATTAAAATAAAATCATAAGATAAATAAATAAAATGTCATTATAAATACACATAAATAAAATTAAATATAAAACGAATGAATAAAAATAAATTGTAAAAATGAAATGATAAAATAAGTAAAAATAAAATGCTAAAATAAAATTATCAAAATATACCAAACAATTTAATTTAAAATCCAAACGTGTAAAACCACAACAATCACAACATAACGTTTTACTCTAATGTTACACAACAATATGAGTCATAAAATTGCCTACTATATTAATAATCTTAGAGAGCATCTTATAAAAGAAGTTGGGAAGCCTATAACTCATTTGCTGACACTTTATTTCTGTATAAATATCTAGACTGCAATAACATTTGCAGTATTAAATCCCCAGGTACATATGTATACGTACACTGAATAGCAAGCGCTCCCAGCTGTGTGCTGATGTTAAACGGACAGGGAAGCCTCCCCTGCAGGACGTCCTGCTTTACCTGCAGGAAGAACTCATACCTGACAGAAGACAGAACGAGTGTGATATTACTGCAGTGACTGAATATTTGCACCTCTAATATCAATATAGTGCTGATTTATTCTCACGATACACAGAACACACACCTTGTAATTTCTTCTTTCAGTTTGCAGGGATCTTCAGCGTAAAATTTCACCCCAAAGTAGAGCGTGAACGGAGGTCCAGCTGGAAAGAAGAAAACAACCCATTAACTCAAATACACACAGCGCTCTATCTTCTAGAAAAAGTCTAGAAAATAAATATAGGACATGAATTTACTGGTGATGACACTAAACATAAACAGTCCTAACCAGATGCAATGCAATGACGCTTTCCGCATCAAGTGATCTGTCTGTCCTTAATTAAAGCAAAACAACAATACGACACAATCACAGCCAATCAGAAGATATCTGATGTTTAAAGTTGAGCTTTTGGACCAATAAGATTGTGTAGTGGGCGGGGCTACCCAGCACGAAGCCTGGTTAGGACACATAACTAAAATAAATAAACTGAAATGTGAAAATACATAACTAAAATGAAATTATGAAAATAAACAAATAAAATGAAATTTAAAAATCTGTTAATGAAATTGGAATTGTAAAAAAAAAAAAAAAATTATGGATAAAAATTAAGAAAATAAATTAATATGTAAAATGAAATGATTAAATAAATAAATAAATTACATGAAAGTATAAAATATATGAATAAATACATAAAATAAAATGATAAAATTAATAAAACTAAACTAAAATTAAATTAATTAAATAAAATACAATGAAATGTTTAAATATATATAAATACTATATATATAAAGTGAATAAAAATTACAAATAGATAAATAAATACGTAAAAGAAAAATGCTAAAATAAATAAAATGTCATTATAAAATAAATAAATGAATACACAAAATAAAATTATAAAATAAATAATTAAAAGGACATAAAAAAACAAACAAAAAAACAATTAAATAAAATGAAAGTGAATAAATAAATAAATAAATAAATAAATATATATATATATATATATATAAAATGTAATTGGCTGTACTGCTCAGTAACTTCTAAAAGTCTTTAAAAAAACAACCTAAAAAAAGGACTGTGATAAGATTGTGGATCGTAATCCTGCCCCAAAAAAATTGTGATATGATATTTCTGCCGTCTCGCAGTAGTATGTCATTCTGCTTTGGAAAGGAAAGTTACATATTCACAATTATACTAGCACACTGCCAGTGTTACACAGATTACATGCACTAATAATTCATTATCAAAGCAAAAACAAGAATTATAGCTCATTTTTAGCAGTTGCACAAAATAATTACACATAGCATTACGCTCTACGTCTAAGAAAATCTAATATTTTGGATACGTTTAAAACAACAGGGTTAGCAATATAGCAAGGCTGTAGCGACTAATATATAATGCAATCATTTCCCAGAGGAGTGAATTAAACAAATGTGTTGTAAATTCTGCCCTACATTCACATCAGTAGATATGCAAATACTCAGCTTGCTGTGCAACTAAACACGCAAACATAATTGTATTCATTACTACTTATTTAGACGGGCTTCAGCGCATAATTACTTCAAAATTATCATCTGAAATGCAATGTGAGTTTTATCAGGAGGCCTTTAGAGAATCATTACGGCTCCGTCTCCTGCTGTGCCGATCCATATTTAATCTGCACTGAAGATGGAGGATCATCATTAGGTCAACGTTTCACGCATTAAAGACCGTCTCTGAAGATTTCTGAGGAGTGTTTAAACAGAAACCAGTGCATACTTACTTGTTATCAAATCTTTATGTTCAGCGAGTGTTTTCGAGGGATCGAGCCAGTACTGTAAACGTAAGAGAGGAGATGAGATCAAAACATCAGAAACATCATGACTGAAGCATTGAGCTTTCTTTTGTGAGTAGAACTGAAGCTTTACTTTGAGCTTCGAGCTGCTGAGATGTTCAGTCATGCAAGTGCCGGCATAATATGAGGCCTAATAAAAGCGGCCGCTCAAACAGACTCGTTACAAAGTCACTGTGGCCTTCATCAATAAAACATGAAGCACGTCAGAGCATGTCACCTGGAGCTCATTCTGTCATTCTTCAGCCGGTCCGCTGATCCTCAAATAACCATTCCTCAGACTTTAATCGAACACTGCATTTGTGCTGGTTTTGATGGACCTAAAAACAGACCAACTTAAAAGCTAATATGATTTTTTACAATTTCAAATTCACCCTCGTGGTGGGATTAGGGCCGGATGATTTGCGTGATGCGGAAAACGCGGACGGAATCGGAAACCAGTCATAAAATGGAATTTAATGTATAACGCGGAATGTCACGGACTTTGCCAAATTTTGAACGAATGAATCAAAAGTAGTTCAGTACACTTAAATCAAATGGCCATATGGACTAGAGTCTGTGACTATTAAAATATGTATTTAAATATGAATCCTGCAGGTTCTGCGTGTCTCTGTGTGATCGAATAGTTTCGTTTCCTACACGTACTGAAGCGTGCGTGAAACTTGCAATGTTTTCAGCATCTGACGTCTCACTAAATGAGACAACGACTCCAGAACTGCTCTGAAAAACTACCACCATATCATATATACACACTAACAAAATTCTGCACGGCAACCCGCCAAAATAAAAGTTCGGTTTAACTTGAAGAAATTGTGACAGGAATACATTACTATTGTACGGTAGAAGCCTAGGCAAAACGTAATCATACGGTATGGCCGCAACTAGAATATAGGTCTTACTACTATTACTATTATTATTAAAACTTAGTTTTTAAGGAATGATCACACAGAGGTTCTTCCATGTTTTCATTTTAACAGTAAACCTCTGTTGTGCAGCACTTTGTTTGCCCCCCCCCCAAAAAATTAAAAGGTTGGTTTAATTTTCATTTGATTAAAATTAAAAGATAAATAAAATGTATATTTGTTATGCCATAACACTGAAAAAACCTAAACAATTAATAGAAAAAAAAGACAATTAAAATTTAAACCATTAAAATTAAATCCAGTCAAATTAAAACGGAAAACACAGAATTTGGTAAAACAAACAAACAAACAAAAAATAATAACACATACGATACAATAAAACAGAATTTGATTTGATTTCATAACGCCCTAAAACATTAGATTCTTGTTAAACTTTTAATAAAATGATGTTAACTTGTATAAGTTTTATGATTTCAATTAATTAGACATGCTTTCTGATTAATAACATTTAATTTAATCATTAAAGTCCAGATAAATCAAAAAGGAAAAATGGAATCCTGAAAAATTAATAGAGAAAAAAACTGAATTTGGGGAAAAAAATAAAACAGCCCTACAAGATGTTCGTCGCTAGGCAGTTTGTAAAGTGTTCTAGGTGGTTGTTATTTGTGTTGTCAAAAATATTGATTTTTCTATACTTATCCATACTGAAATATCTAAAATGATTTCAATACTCTTTTTTTTGCAGTATTGATACACAATACCACCGATACATCTATACACCGTAAGTATGCGCATGTTGCCCAACAAAATACACATTTAACAACACATATTTACCCCAAACTCACTTCATACCGTCAGTCGAGTGTTTGAAATAACTTCCTTTTGTGACCTGAGTGGCTTCTTATCATAGAATGAGGCCGAAAGCATAATTTTGTAGTACACTGTAATACATACTATGTCGATTAGCACTGCATTATAAATCGACTTTATTCTTGTGAGTATACCCGAGATGGCTTGAAGAGCACAGATAAACCTTTAGAAAGCTTTATGTTTGATCAGTTAAAGGGTTTCTATCTTTTGTTATTCAGCTTACAGTGATGTTAGGGATTTCCTGGAACGTTCTATTACTTCTGTGAGGAATAAGTGGCGTACAGTATGAATGAAACATACGTTACATGTGTTTACAGTGCTCCATAATGGGAAAAAATAATACTTCTCTCGAAAGAAATTTGAATTAAACATATTCAATTCGTTTTTATTAGTGTAGAAACGTACCTCATTGTCATGTTCTAGCCTTGTTATATTTATCTTTCGATAAAAATCTAAAATTGTATGCCCTTATGGTATCGAAAGTAGTATTGAATATCGATATTTTTCAAGTTATCGTATCAAAATGACAAATTCCAGTATTGTGACAACACTACGCTACAGGACAAAGTTCAAACTGAATTTTAACACCAACTATGAGCAATAATTAAAGTGATGCTTCCATTAGCAAACACAACAGCAACTATGAGGGCACTAACAGTGATTTGCTCAATCTGTGAGGCGCTTCAGCTAATTAACTCTATAACAAACACAGCCTGAAGATCTTCATCATGTTTTCGACTCTTGTCAGGTGATATTTCAGTGAAGTCAGGAGGGAATGCTATCTGGTGTCGCCTTGCAGACAAGATTTATATGCCATTTAATGAATGTGTAAATGAGCATGCATGAAATACTTTATATGGACAGAGAGAGACAAAGCAAACAAACATCTGTGCAAACAATAAGAACTGAGTGAAGGTGTGTGTGCAGACGGGAGGAGGATTAGTGCTGCGCGTTATTCAATTAGAAAACGTTAATTGAGTCGACTCATCTAATAATCACATTAGAGCAGCTGCTGTTTCACTGAACAGAAGAGCTGAAAAACACAACAGACAGAGTCTTTATTGCCAAGAACAAGGGAGGATTTTTTACTACAGTCATGGCAGATGATTTGAACAAACCTGTACTATTTTACTAAGTGATCAGACTTACAATTTTCACTTGGTGAAGAACAAAACAGGTGAAAAAATCCCACAAACTTGTATTGAGGAAAGGACCCGAGCTACAGACGTTGAAGTAATATACTGAATATTAACTATTACATATCAATGTTACAATTGAAATAAAGCAGAAGTAATATAAAACATAAATATTAGATGAAAAACTTCAATGCAAATTAGAAATGTCTTGGCAGCTAACTGAAATAAGTTATTAAAATTACTTAAATGAAAGCTAACTGAAATATTAAAAAAACTAATACAAATTATAAAAGCACATAACAAAATTACAACAAAAAAAAACTTAAAGCTATTTAAGAGGAAAACTGAAAATATAAAAATAAAAGCTGATGCAAAATATTAGATACTATTATAGTATATGAATAATATTAAAATAGCACTGTTCAGAACACCTTGGCAACCACATAGCAACGACCTAGCAACCACCCAGAACTCCCTAGCAACTGAATAGCAAGATGTTAATGACTCAGAACACTCTAGCAACCACCTAGAATACCCCAGCAGCTAAATATAAAGATGTTAACAATGACAATAACAATGAACACCCTAGTGACCGTATAGCAATGACCTAGCAACCACTCTGAACTCCCTAGCAACTGAACTGCAAGATGTTAATGACTCAGAACACTTTAGCAACAACCTAGCAACCACCCAGAACACCCTAGCAACTAAATATCAAGATGTTAACAATTACAATAACAATGAACACCATAGTGACCGTATAGCAATGACCTAGCAACCACTCTGAACTCCCTAGCAACCGAACTGCAAGATGTTAAAGTTAATGACTCAGAACACCTTAGCAACCACATAGCAACAACCTACCAACATAGCAATGACCTAGCAACCACTCTGAACTCCCTAGCAACCGAACTGCAAGATGTTAAAGTTAATGACTCAGAACACCTTAGCAACCACATAGCAACAACCTACCAACCGATCAGGACTCCCTAACAGCTGAACCTCAAGATGTTAATGACTCAGAACACCTTAGCAACGGCATAGCAATGACCTAGCAACCACTCAGAACTCCCTAGCAACTGAACTGCAAGATGTTAATGACTCAGAACACTTTAGCAAAAACCTAGCAACCACCCAGAACACCCTAGCAACTAAATATCAAGATGTTAATAATTACAATAACAATGAACACCATAGTGACCGTATAGCAATGACCTAGCAACCACTCTGAACTCCCTAGCAACTGAACTGCAAGATGTTAATGACTCAGAACACTTTAGCAACAACCTAGCAACCACCCAGAACACACTAGAAACTAAATATCAAGATGTTAGCAATGACAATAACAATGAACACCCTAGTGACGGTATAGCAATGACCTAGCAACCACTCTGAACTCCCTAGCAACTGAACTGCAAGATGTAAATGCCCCAGAACACCTTAGCAACTGCATAGCAACGACTTAGCAACCACTCAAAACTCCATAGCAACTGAACTGCAAGAAGTTAATGACTCAGAACACCTTAGCAACCACACAGCAACAACCTACCAACCACTCAGGACTCCCTAACAACTGAACTGCAAGATGTTAAAGACTCAGAACACCTTAGCAACTGCCTAGCAACACCCTAGAATAATTGTGATGACCCTAGAATCAGCTTTGCATGAACAAGCAACTTAAATTTTTGCCCAGAAATGTAAATAACTAGTTCAAAACAAGACAGCAGTTTCTCCTCCAATGGATGTGGACAGTTGTTTTATTTTAAATGTATAATAGCATGTTAAAAATGTCTCCACCGAAGGAATTCTCTGTGCCTTACAATTAGATGATCCATCTATGAGTCAAGAGTACATGTAAACCACACCCACACATGCTTCTGTGTAAATTACACCCGTTTTGAGGACGGGGGTTTTACCTTCTCTCTCTTTTTACCATAATAACCGTTCATAGAGTTGACAGATTTGTGTAAATGTAAGTTACTGCGTGCCTCTTGCCCAGTGCGTGCTCAGCAATAAATCCACGCTCGTGGGACAGGGCCCGCAAGGCATTGTGGGAAACACCTCTGTCTTTGGTCGAGCTTATCAGGTAATCACTGTTGTATTCTTTCACAATGCTGCACATTGACTTACCCAAGATTTGGCCCCTGGGTAAACCTAACCACCCTTTACCTCAGACGTGACCCTTAGGACCTTATGACTAATTAATGTCTTAGCAAACTTCCTTAAAGGAATAGTTCACCCAAAAATGAACTCGCCCTCATGTCATTCCAAACCTTTTCATTTTTATCCGAAAAAAAAAAAAAGATGATCTTTTGAAGAATGTTGGTAACCAAAAAGTTTTGGTTCCCATTGGCTTCCATTATTTGGACTCAAAGTACAATGGTAGTCAATGGGAACCAAAACATTCTTCAAAACGTGTTCTACAGAAAAAAGAAAGTTATACAGGTTTGGAATGACATGAGGGAGAGTAAATGATGGCAGAATCTTAATTTATGAACTGACATGGGATCAAATCTTCAAGAACTCACCGTTTGATGACTGCAGTCGCAATAGCGAAGCCCAAAATACTCGGTTTCAGCGAGGTTCACATGACTGAAAACATAGTCCAGCACTACAGAACCTTTGGTTGATTTCTGTGGAGAAAGGTGGGACATGCATTAGAAATCTCATCATGAACAAACTGTTTTCAGATTGCAAACAACATTTAAAGGAATAGTTTACTCAAAAAATGAAAATTTGCTGAAAATCTATCTATACTCTGACCATTTAAGATGTAAATGAGTTTGTTTCTTCGTCAGATTTGTAGAAATCTAGCATTGCATCAGTGTCTCAGCAATGGATGCTCTGCAGTGAATGGGTGCCGTCAGAATGAGAGCTGATAAAAACATCACAATAATCCACAGCACTCCAGTCCATCAGTTAACATCTGGAGAAGACAAAAGCTGTGTGTTTGTGAGAAACAAATACATCAAGACGTTTTTTTTTTTACTTCAAACCGGCTAAAATACAAGTCCTTAATCCATAATAATGCTTCCTCCAGTGGAAAAGTCATCTGGTCTGAATCCGGAGAGCAATCTGCACAGATCAAACACTTGTTTCTTACAAACACACAGCTTTTGTCTTCTCCAGATGTTAACTGATGGACTGGAGTGCTGTGGATTATTGTGATGTTTTTATCAGCTCTCATTCTGACGGCACCCATTCACTGCAGAGCACCCATTGCTGAGACACTGATGCAATGCTACATTTCTCCAAACCTGATGAAGAAACAAACTCATCCTAATCTTGGATGGCCTGAGGGTGAGCACATTCTCAGCAAATGTTCATTTTTGGGTCAACTATTGCTTTAAAAATACAAGTTCACCTGTATTGCATCTCTCCTGACAGTGAGAGGAGGGTTTGTGGCTTTGTTCTGATTTAATACGGTGTTTGACAGGTTACTTTCAACCCGAAACCGCACCTATGATAAATGACCTGTGCACACAGCATGAAAACAAACCGCTAATGCCAATAAAGCCAAGAATGACTACGTAAATAGAGGTAAAAAGAGTTCAGATAAAGGAAACTCAATGACTAATCCGTCTGACGATCTTTTCCTTGTTTTTGAATATTGCTCTTAATGTCCTACAGTTGTTTGATATTTCTACCCAGACAGATAAAGGTGACCTTTATCTGACATAAGCAATTATCACTCACAAACACAGCTGTGATGTGAACTGACACCAAAGAAAACACGTGCACCGATGGGTTTCAGTCCGTCACACAACGAGAATGAGTTATAGACTTGACTTTTCTGAAAGAAGGCTCTTCTCATTTATTTGATACAGATAAATGTGAAATATTGTAAATAGCTGTTTTCTATGTGAATAGCTGTTAAAGTGTAATGTATTTCTGTGATGCGCAGCTGTATTTTCAGCATCATTCCTCCAGTCTTCAGTGTCACATGATCTTCAGAAATCAGTATAATATGCTGATCTGCTGCTCGAGAAACATTTCTGATTATTATCAATGTTGAAAACAGTTGTGCTGCACAATATTTTTGCGGAAACTGTGATACATTTGATTTTTCAGGATTCACGGATGAATAGAAAGTTCAGAAGAACAGCATTTATTTAAAACAGGAATCTTTTGTCACATTATAAATGTCTTTACTGACACTTTTGATGAAGTATGAATTTAAAAAAAACTCAGTGACCTCAAGTTGTGAACAGTAGTGTATATCAAGATATTTATGCATTTTCTAGCAGCAGATCAGCATATTATACTGATTTCTGAAGATCATGTGACACTGAAGACTGGAGGAATGATTTTCTGATTATTATCAATGTTGAAAACAGTTGTGCTGCACAATATTTTTGCGGAAACTGTGATACATTTGATTTTTCAGGATTCACGGATGAATAGAAAGTTCAGAAGAACAGCATTTATTTAAAACAGGAATCTTTTGTCACATTATAAATGTCTTTACTGACACTTTTGATGAAGTATGAATTTAAAAAAAACTCAGTGACCTCAAGTTGTGAAAAGTAGTGTATATCAAGATATTTATGCATTTTCTAGCAGCAAAGCAGCATATTATACTGATTTCTGAAGATCATGTGACACTGAAGACTGGAGGAATGATGCTGAAAATACAGCTGCGCATCACAGAAATACATTACTGTTTAACAGATATTCACATAGAAAACAGCTATTTTAAATCACAACACAATCACCAACCACAAACTTTTGAACAGTAGCGTATGGTTTTAATAAACTAAACCGGTGTGGCCTGAGCATCTTCGTGCTAGTAAATTCAGTACGTTACCACCAATTAAATCTTTACTGTAGTCATAAATCTTCAGTGTTTATGTGACATCTCTGCTGAGAGTTGTGCAACTGCAGCTCAGACGTATGACAGACGGAGAGTGAGAGGAGCTTCTGCCCGCTGGGAGTGTGTGTGTGTGTGTGTGTTTGCTGTAAGAACACACACACATAAAACACACAAAGGGACGTATGTCATGATCGCTCCTGTTACACGCTGCAGGGTGAAACACAATGAACTTCACATCTGAAACACTATATCGCTACAGCAGCAAACCCACAGGACTGAGAAATCACACACAAGATCTCTTCACCTAGACAGCAATACAATTAAATGGAGAGGTTTCTCCTAAAATGAATCTCACACGTGTCTCAAAAATGTCTCGGATTTACCAGATCCAAAAGTCTGAATATGAAAGATCTCAAACATTTCTCATCAAATTAGCTGAGCAGCTCCACATTCATTTAATAGCTCTAAACTCTTACTGTATGACAACCATTGACTCTTTTGGGTCATCGATATCATTAAAAACACTGAGAGAAACATCTGAGACAAAGTTGATACTTCAATGAAACGTGAATTGAATCAAAATATGAGCAATCTCATTTTCTTTTCAGAGATCTAAAGAGAGCAAATCAATGTAACTGTTTGCAAAAATTGACCACACTGAAAAATTTTGAAATTCACTTTGAAATAATTGTCATTTAGAAATTGCTAGTAAATTGAAATGAATTAAACGGAAATTGTATTTTCTTGTAAAACGTGATGTAATGATCTAATCTTTTTTATGTACAACTACTGCATTTAATGTGGTATTAGGGCAAAAGTTAAAGCCTTGCAATGCATTTTTTATCCAAACACAAAGAGAAATCCACTGATAATAATCAGGAGAAGAAAAATTTAATAAAATCTGAACTATATACGTATATATATATATATATAGTTCAGATTTTATTACATATACAGTATATATAATAACAATAATAATAATATATAGGTATGCAAGTATACACAATAATTATTATTATTTTAAATATGCTAAGAAAAATCTGTGAGAAAGAATGTTGAGAAAACTTAAAATATGTGGAGAAAAATGTTAATTTAAATAAATATATAAATAAGTGATGCATTAAAATGTATTTTTTAACAAAGCCAAAATTAAAGTTTTTATTTAGCGTAAAACAGAAAATAATGTTTCTTTCATAATCAATTAATGAATCACATTTATCTCATAATCAGCACTCAAAAACATTTAAATTACACATAAGGCAGTTTTTATATCACCTTTTTAATGATATAGCCTAATTATGTTTCTACTTCAATTTGTTGTTGAAATATAAACTTTTAAACGGTGGTTGTAATAAACACTTGTTTTCGCGGCAGATTTATTCAAACATACATTAAATAATGGAGATAACAGGTTAAAGGAAGTAATTGAAAACTCAATAAGCCTGAAAAGAGCAAAATTTAAGCAATAAGATTATCTCTGAACAGAGCTACAGGAATAAACGTAAGTTTGCAAAACTGCATGATATGTCAACTATGGTGAACTTAAGGACATTCTTCTATAAATAGTTTTTTACGGTGGACACTGAGTGCTCACAGATGTTTAAGATGCTCAGGTTTCCACCACGCAGAGGGAACACAGGTACGGCCTTACCAGGGAAAAACCCCTCATTGTGTGTGACCTCTGTAACTCAAGTCCCAAAAGCCCAGCGGGAGGAGAGCTGAACACGGCACACCGCAAACACCAACCATCCTCCTAAAACATGCCCTCCGCATTCCTGCCGTATCTCTCTTACCGACAAGACTTGTGCGCAGGTCAGGGAATGTTCAAACAACAGGCAAGAGTGAAATGAATAGATTGAGTAGAGAAATGCACCGGCGCTTTTCCCACCTACTGTAGATAAAAACGAAACGCTAGCTGTCCTGTGCCCACGTCTGTTTATTTCCATCGGATAGAAACGCTGATAAGAAAGCCACAGCAGATTAGTGTTCAAATGCATTATCAAGCGTACACTAATAACAGCTTTATTCTGAGGGACAAGTGGAAAAAATAACTTTACAGCATTTTAAAGCCGTGCAATGCATTTTAAATCCAAATACAAAGAGAAATCAACTCTATCCGATAATCAGGGGAAAGAAAAAGGCCTAATATCTGAACTTTACTTTCATTTTTTATACTGTGCATTATAAACTGTATACTTTCCTCTCTAAAAAAATCATGGTACTAAATGAAAAAATAAAAAAATAATAAATAAAAAAAATATATATATATATATATATATATATATAAACTAATATATAATGGCTGCTGAAAATGTGGTATTGCAATAAAAGCAGCCTCAGTGAGCAGAAGAGACTTCTTTCAGAAACATAAAAAATACAATAAAAAAAACAAACAAACAACAACAACAACAAAATAAATATTATTCCAAAAGTGTGACTTGTAGTGTATATATAACAAATTAAAAACTAAAAAATTATCACATATTATTATAAAATTATACAATACATACTGCATACTGCAAAAGTTGATTAAATAATATTGTAGCACGGCCTTCTGAACACAACCTTTGTTAAAAATGTAGTCTTCAAACTCACAAGAAAGAAAGAATATTTTATATTTTCATGATAATTATAAGAATAATAATTGCAGACTGGGAGTTAAATGAAACAAGCACAGGCACAGATCTAATAAATAAAGATTAATCTGAAGTGAAACGAAGCCTTTTGCATCGATTTCAGACGGTCAGTCAGACAGATGAACTAATGAGACTGATTTGTTTAGTGAAAGCAGAAACGTGTGTCTGATAACACGAGCTAATC